CGCGCTGCATCTGTAAAATGGCCCCACTCAGGGCATACTCACACTAGAACTTCCCTGCTGCATCTGTAAAATGGCCACACTCAGGGCATACTCACTCTAGAACTTCCCTACATGTATCGGAGTGCAATCACCGTCAGACGTGGACGAATCTGGCTGCAATCACGTCCACAGCTTAGAAGAAAAAGTTCCAGTGGGAGTACGCCCCAGCTCGAACTGTCTGCTGCATCTGTAAAATGGGCATGGGCACACTAAGGGCATACTCACTAGCAATTTCCTAAGCGTATGTGACTGCAATCGGGGTCAGACACAGATGAATCTGACTGCAATCGCGGTCAGACATAGATGAATCTGACTGCAATCACATCGATAGCTTAAAAGAAACAGTTATCGCGGGAGTATCATAATGCGCCAACTGCAAGCGAGGATACGCGGGCGTCTTAGAGTTTGGCGAGAGGCAGTCGCTGCAATACTTGCTTGAACTTTTCCTTCCCTCTCTGTCTTTTTTTTTTGGGATAAATGGCAAGAGGCAGTGGGCGGCATGTTTCGCCCGAGTTCGTCTGCTGACTCCGATTCTCTGCAACGTCATCTTTTGGGTGTTGTTAGTCAATGAGGTTCATGATTACTTCTCGTTTATGCCACGCGCATTGAGTGAATGATTGATTGATTAGCCCTCTCAACCATATTACAACTAATTACATCCTCTCACCCCAATGACAACTACTTACCCCCTCTCATCCCGATGACAAAGAATTACCCCCTCTTACCCCAGTCAGCGCATGATGACCCCCTCTTACCACAGTCAGCGCATGATTACCCCCTCTTATCCCCAGTCAGCGCATGATTACCCCCTCTTACCCCCGATATGAGTGCATGATTACCCATCTCAGCCCGATGAGAACTGATTACCAGAGGTAATTGGAGCCATACAAACATAACCTCGTGCACTCTTGTTAGACCATCATAGCCTCGCTATCGACTGGTTCTATTGACAGCATGATTAATTCGTTCTCCAACGATAAGCCAGGCTCAAAAAGCTTCAGAAGGCAGGGCCTCATTGTCCATTGATTTGGAGTTCGGAGCGTTCTCTCTCTCTCTCTCTCTCTCTCTCTCTCTCTCTCTCTCTCTCTCTCTCTCTCTCTCCTTGCTGGCTCTCTCGCGTGCTTGCTTGCTTGCTACGTGTGTTGGGCGGTAGAGCCCGTCGTATCGCATTTGAAGATCAGGGCCGTGCGCAAGCTGTCGATGGATGATTCAAGCTTCCGTCTATATAGAGACTTTCGAGCCCAGATCCCATTGGCAGGGATAAAGAGATACCGACCGTAAATCTCAACGATCGAAGGAATATCGGCCGTAGATTTTCATTTTATTGTTGTTCGGGCCGTAGAACATGTCAATGTGTGCTCTCGATGGATCCCGGCCCCAAGGTTCAGCCTCGTGAGAAGGGGATCAAACCCGGAAGACTCGTGTCCCCCTCTCGACCATCTCCTTTTCCGTCTCCTCTCCTTTCCTTCTTCTCCTTCCTTCCTCAGCCGCATCAGCCCAATCATCCGCCATCGCCGCCCCTGCCTTCCATCTGCAGCGGGATGCCGTTTGACCCCGTTATGTTACGTATTCTTTTCATCTCGTCTGCAACTAGGACCGCGTGGTCCCGTCACGTTATCGTGAGACTCAGACGCGAAGCGTCTGCTCTTCGAGCAGCCCATGGAGAAATCGACTGACAATCTGACAATTAGACAATCTTAAGCCAACGAACGATGACGATCGACGGCAAGTCAACGTATCAACGGTTGCAACGCAGACCTTCAGGCTCGTGCAAACTGACTAGCAAAATTGTGTGTGGGCGTGTGTGTGTCGGCAGGAGAGAGAGAGAGAGAGAGAGGG